AAAAAAAATCTGAGCCTCCTCAGGATGAAAACGGAACATTTGTTGATGGTATGCGAATTAGTGAGTAATCAGATGGAGGAAGGCACGGCAATGGCTCGCTCTCTATTCTACGACATCTTACTGTCCTCTTGCAGTTGAGAAAACTTCAACTCGCTCTGTTTGATCTGTGTCCTTGTAATACCTTCATAGCTTAATCACTAGGGAATCATAACCACTTTCTGTCCCGTAGGGAGGCGTTGACATAGAAACTGTACCGTGTATAGCAATAGAATCTCGTTTCATAATCAATGCAACCGGCTCCTGCTCTCTCCTGACTGTTTTGGAGAGAACGGCTTTTATAGCGCCCACTATCATTTTCACCCTCGAAAACGGAGGATCCAAACAAATCACGAGTTAGTTTACGAGTTAAGCTCCTTTCAATCGTAATCCCAAATCGTTCTGAGGGCCTCTCGTTGTTTTTGGAGCTGGGCTTGCCTCTACAGCAGATAGACATTACGTTTTTCGTTTCGTTTGGGCATAGATCGTGGGGCACAACCACTACAAAGCGTGTAGGCAGTAGCTGTATGATTATTGGTAACTGCGATTTACTGTATAGGGAATTCCAAGCCGCGCATACGTGATTAAAACACCAGCATCAACAGATATGATGTCGATTTGGTGCAATATCCTCGGATCACTTTTCTTGTAACTGGACATACTGCACTGAATCGTAAGCATGTTGGATCGTCTTTCGGAGGTACAAGGAGTTCCATTGCTGTTCGTTCTTTGTCGGATCGAGGTCACACAACTTTTATGTACAAAGACAATCAAAACGCTACTCTTCAGAGTCGCCAGACTCAATTAAAGGCTCCATTATGGAATTGGATGCTTACAAGTGTGTTTTGGTGTAAATTCTTACATCAGTTCTGAGGTCTCGTGTCATCAAAAAGTGGATGCCGGCACCAACCAAGTAAAGATTAATCTGGTATCACTGATGCCACGTATCCTACCAAAATCAAAAAGGAACTGGCTGTTGTCAATGTATTGTGACTCGAAAATGTGCCAATAGATATAAAGATCAAAACCTTGAAAACATTATGGTCTTGGAGCTCAAGCCAGACTCAGGAGAGAGATCGACCAATACTTCGATAATCCACCAGTCATAGTAAATCTAGACGAAGAACTAGAACTCATAGCGTGTCTTGTGGATGAAGGTTTGCTGATTGAGTGTAGAAGAGTGACTGGTGGCCAAACGTGGGCAGGGCAACTTGCAGTACACCCGTTGTTGATGAATATGAGCAATGGTACGAAGGCTCTTTATGCATATATGGTTCAGGTAACGTATACTTTAGAGTGTTAAGGTATAGCAAATCCCCCAATAAGGCACAAACTGGCAGATATTCAAAAACACATTAACAATCCATGCCCAAAATGCTTCACCGCCAAGAAATGTATCTGAAATATGAAGAACCTACTTCCTGATCCGAATCATCTACGACCGGTGCCGTCAGCATCATCCAATAAACATATAAGTAGCTGTTGGCGCCGAAATTCTTGTTGTTGGTTGTGAATGTTCAGCGATTGATGATGAAACAATGACAGCCAGCACTCATTCTTTTCGCCCAAAGACAAAATCAGCAGCTATTGATTGCTTTGGGGATTCCTCGCTAGAGCATTCGTTGTGCGTTGAGCGATGAACCGAAGAAATGTGTTTGATGTTGATGATGGATCGGCACATTCACAGACACTTCTCAGCGATACCACAGCTACTATTAGTTAGCCCCGCTGACTAAGCTCTCACTCGCGAAAAGACTTCGGGTTCTGTAGATCCCTAAGTCCAGCAACCAAGATTGAGTTCTTTCTTTGGTGAATTTGATGTCGAGGAACTTCCCAGAGACACTGCAGCTAATATTGGCTAGCCATGCCGAATAAGCTCTCATTCGCCACAAGGCTTTGGGTTCCGTCGGTCATTAAGTCCAGCAGCCAAGATTGCGTCTCTTTTGGTAAAGGGTATGTCGATGCTGAGCGACACTCAGACAGGAACGTCCCAAATATGATATAACACCGAGATGTGCCTAGCCATTCAGACTAAGTTCTCTCTCGTTGACAGATTTCGTTTTCTGTCAGTCGTTAAGTCCGGCAGCCAAGATTGCGTTGCTTTTGGTGAATTTGATGTGCAGACCCATACGATTTAACCGCTGAATTCGATATCTGAGTTATTACAATCCAACTTTAGAGTGACTTTGAATTGGTTCTTTACCGGAGAATCTGGCTGTCGAAACTTCGATGCTCTACCAATTTCTATGTCGACTACCGGCTTTTTTTGCGGCGAGATCTTGGAAAGCCGAATGTGTGCACAGTGACTTGCAAGGATACACGGATCAATTCATTCATGCAGGACTCCGATTCGCAACAAATAACCTTTTGCTTTCAGGCATACATCCCTCATTTACGGAACGCACCCTGTTATAACCTGAATCATAGTGTTTGGATATACTCCAGCTACTCCACATTGCTGCCAAGGACCACCTGAGGAACCTCTTGCAACACCTTATGAATCAACTCCCTCTCCGATAATAATCTGGGGTTGGACATCGTATTTTCTGTTTTGGCCACAGCAGATTGTACCCAATTGCCAAGTATTACAGGAGTTGTTACAGTATGTTCTGTTTCGAGGATGTTGCATGCCAAAAAAATCCATTTGGGGCGTATGTTCGCGCCACGGTAGCCACGACAAAGTGAAACTCTAAACAACACAGAAGGTTTCAAAAATAGCGGTCCGGATGATGGATGATCTTCAGCCAAAAAAAAACTGTGTTGCGTACGTAGTAGCTTGACTTTCTTGTTCAAAACCCCCCACTTTGACCCTCAGATATCCAATCAGATAAACGACAGACCAAATCGTGCCGGCCTTTTGGCTCCTGCCGAATCAATCTGTGCTATAGGCTTTCTACGACAGATCTGTCACAGCTTGAATCGGAAAAGTGTACCGGTTCCACCACTTTCACTTTAAACGTGACACGGATGCTACTATGGGCTCAAACTGCTGCAATCCGATCTCAGAGTGGTATATACCTGCACACGGAGACGAGATCGATCCACCTGAATTGATACTACGAATCGCGATCTTATGTTGCTCTATTTTGGTCTTGTCGATTTCTACACGCCGTTTGAAGTCCCCGCAGGCATCAGATTATATTATTGTGGCTGCCACGTCGCTGGATGTCTTTGCGTCGATTTGTTGGATTTTGTCTGTCTTGGGAAAATCAGTCAATCCGAATGTACAATTGAGTGCCAATGTGTTGGCCATGACAGTGACGAATGTAGGTATTTCGTCAAACTTTCCAAATCGGACCGTGATGCAGATATCTGATTTGTATCCTCATCTTGTTTAAGATTGTGTTTTTTTTGTATACCGCTGTTGAACTACTGAGGTTTGCTGTTTTCCAAGGCAGGTGGTTTGTTATTGCACCTTCAATGTTTTCATACTCGTAATCTGCACATAAACGGATTTGCCACTTAACATTCGCTTGTCTTTTTCAGCGGTCTTTGTCAGATGGTACACTCCAACAATGAGACGCAGCCTTCAAGGTATCCTGCTCTTCATCACCATCCTATCAACATCTGTCGCTACATACTGCATCATCAACACCAAAACTCTCTACCCGCTCTTCTGGGGCGCTCTACAGTCAAGCATTCAGTGCTCCGTGTTGAACGCACTGCAAATCTACACTATCTGTATCGTGTGTCCCGTCATACAGAGAGATCAGAAGCGTCGACATTGCCATCCGAGACATTCAGACAGATCAGGAGTCAGTCTGAATTGGTTCCACGAAATTTTATTGATTGCCTGTGCAGTGTTGACTGTTTCGTATGCGATGGTGGCATACGTATTGGGGATTGGATATGCTCGAGATTGTCCACATATATGTACAGCAATGTGGTCGTTTCTTCTTGGTAAGATTACTCTGTGTGCCTGACGCAGAATTGGAAGAAGCAACGAACCTCACCATTTTCAATCCTTGTCAAATAGTGCTTTACGGGTAAGACTTTTAGAGAAAGTCAACGAGGGGAATGTACTTCTGTGCTTTGAATTCTCGAGGTCTGATCAAAACCCTCTCTCCGCCAAACTTCTTTTAGACTAACGAAACTCGTCTACTTTGACTTGCTCACAATGTATACCTCAGCCAGTACAGCCAAAGCCGTACTCTCAAACAGCTATACAATACGACCAACCAACACTCGAGGAAGCAAGAGACCGATATCCGACATCCTATCATCCATCCGCTCAAACTCTGGTGTAGTCATCTCCTCAGCGGAACGTGCCCTCGTTATCGAAAGACACAAGGAAGCAATCGGCGTGCTTGCCAACAAGTCTGGATTCTTGCCACAGACACCATCAGTTGTTGCTAAACTTGCACAAAGAGGACTTGGAGGGAGAGTATATGAGGATGACGATGATGATCAGAATCATGAAAATCTTTCACACCCAACTATTATTATAACAGAGTCTATAAGCAGCTCGTTGAGATATACTGAGGATGGCCTGTTTCGAAACAAACTTCTACTGCAACAGCTCTCCGTCATTGTGGATGTGTCCACAGATACTTCCGTAATCAACAACACAAACAGCGTCGAAAACACGTCATGTATTTCTGATACACACTCGAAACCGCCACTCTCTCCGATATAGTCCACATTACATAGAAACTATGTCCAACGGGACCCCAAGACTGTACGAGCAACGTTGTAATGATGACTTGTTGTATGCTGTAATGCGTTAATAAAACATGCAAAATCAACAAGTACGATTGAACAGACTGGCTATGTAGCACACATCATTATTCTTCGATACAGAGGGAAGCAACCACTACGAACCACAACACCAATTCAAACGAATATCTCTATATGGGGAATGCGGTTTTTGTTTCTATGTTTGAACTGGAACTACATTCTATATACATGTCTTTAATGCTATTGGGGGATTTTTTTTGTGGTTGTAAAGATCCACCTCCATTCTCTCATTGAGGTTTGGCACTAGTGTCTACCTGTATATGTCCAGCTGGCCAACTAGATCTCGTACTAATCCTTGGTGAGTTCGGTGCAACTGATACACTTTGCTCATGGTCAGCCTTCATAGTAGCTTGAGAGTCATCGGTAGAAAAGAATCCCGGAGAGCCCTGAAGAGATGTGGGTGTAATAGGTGATTTGGCTCCATCAGATATTATCGGTACTCGTTCATCAGCTGATTCACTGTCTTCATCATGTGGACGCATAGAGTGCTGTTTACGGGCACGTTTATACTGGTGCTTGAGTCGTTTAAACAAGAAGGCGAGAGCTACAATCACCCAATATCCAAAGTATACACCAGTAGTTAATGCAGTTGGGCGAGCTCTCCATCCAGTCAAGGAGGACAAGACTTGGAAGAATCCATTGCTGTTTTCATTACAACATCCACTGACATCCCATAGCAATGGTGTTGAGCCAGGTAGACCAGCATATCCTTGGGATGTATCGGGTATAATTATCGGATATTTCATTGGCTCTAATCCAGTTGGTACGTATCCACTAGCTGAAGCACATAATTGCACGAACTCTGCTGGTAGACTAAGAGTCGAGGCCCAAGATGCATTATTTGGGTATGGTTCAATGACTGTAGCGGCTAAACCAGCCATAAGATGCCATTCTATGTGACAATGGAACATCCATGCTCCTGGATTGTCAGCGATAAATCTGATAGCACTCCATCCACTACCACGGACCATCAGTGTATCTCTCAATGGTGGGTTATTCGTCATGGGAGTAAAGTTACCAGATGTCATGGTGCCAGGACCTTCAGCTACAATCCAAAACCAATGTCCGTGAAGATGGAAGGGATGGTCTTCTCCATCTAGATTATTGATTATGATTTCGGAACCTGTGTTTGCAGTCAGGTTTATCGGATTGGTGGTATATAGTGGTGGTAGACCTGCCGCTAGAGTTTGTAGCGTCGGCGTGTGAGGGAACATGTATGATAGCTGGTTGCCATCATTTAAAGTCACGAATGCTCGATTATCACCATCGTAGGTCGTCATGAACTGAATAGAAAAAGAAGATTGTGAGAAAAGTGTTGATCGAATTGCAAAACTAATAAGTTAAACGAGGGTATAACGCCCGAAAACTTACACTGAATCCAAACGTCGTGCTACTAACAACTGTGGCAGGAGCAGTTTGAGGCGTGCTTGGCACCAGCATAAAGTCGTTCAATACATTGGTATATGTTCGATTGTCTTCTTGCAGTGAAGAAGAAGGCTCTACAAGAGGAGCTCCTTGATACCGTAAGACAGCACCAATAAAGACATCTAAGAACTCATTGAGTTCAAACATGGCATTGACCATGGTTGCTCGTATCCAGTAATTAGTGGCTGGTTGAGCAGCAGTGAGGATGATCGAGTACTAAAAACGAGGCAGGTTGACGTGTCAGTTTGATGACGTAAATTTTTATACCAAGGAATCTTGAGCAGCAAATAGTTCAATAATGGATACCAAGTACTCACTCGTTGAGCAACAGTAACCTCCAATTGATCCACAACTGTCGGAGTCACCGGAACTCCATCAGCTTCAATAACTGTCATAGTGTGACTATCGATCGAAAAGTTGAATGTAGCAATAGCGGCAGTGTTGACGATTCGAATTCGATATCTGCGACCAGGAACTAGTGCAGGTGTTGCGTATCGACTTCCTTCAGCACAAGGCAGGCCGTAAAGAGGTGAAGTGCAAGCATACACGCCAAGGTTGTTGATGAGGCCCGAGTCAGGGACTGGTTCTACACCTCCAGGATTGTTTGATGACTAGGTAGGAGATTTTGGTAAGTGATTACGAAGAGAGAGATGGCAAATGATCCAAATTTCTCAATTGTATGTGACAGGACTCACGTACCAAAAAGTCGGTCAACAAGGCTTCAGACTGATTATGATACCAATCTGAGAGCTTTAGTACAATGGTATCGTCATCATACAATGCCAAGTTTGGATCGGTAGGGTCCTTAACAATCAAAGCACCTCGTAATCCATCGACGTATTCAGCTCGAAGATGGGCGTGCCACCAATATGTTCCTGATTGCTCCAGAGTAAAGTTGTAGGTATATCTGTGTAATCGATGGTGCGTATGTTTGAAACAAGTATCAAAACAAGCACAGACGTTGATACATACGATTGACCAGGAGCGATGGGACACTGTGTAGTTTGGAAGACCCCATCCATGACCTGGCTTCCCTTTTGATGTATGCCGTGCCAGTGCAGGGAGGTAGCCATATCCAATCCATTGTAAGCCTAACGTAAACGTATTGACTTAGAACCTCGAAGCGTGGTTTGACATCATAACATGCATGCGTTGCGAGTAGTTAATAGTACCTTGACAATCAATCGATCACCCTTGTTTAAGAGTATGTCAGGTGCAGGCCATGTATTGTTGACCGTGATGATTGTTCTGTTGACTCCATCGGGACTTGCAGCCGAGTAGCCAATGTTGAATGTGTAGCTGACAGTTGCCGGTCTGACTGATGGGAGGAGAGCTAGTAGACCAGCTACCAAGAGGAGGGATATGGAGCTATGCATAGTGGATTCTTGTTCGCTAATGGACAATGTTTGTGAGTCATTTGTTCGACATTATGTCGTCTTTGGGCAAAAAACGTGAAAAAGTTGCGGAATGAGAGACTCACCCTCAAAAGAGAAACGAGGTAGTCTGCGATGCAGGCACAGCAGTAATAGTTCCTGTGCGTAGCTATGTGATCTATGGCCACTGAATGCAGTCTCTCTAGTTCTAGGGCGTTGTTGTGCGTCGAAAGATTTTCGTGAGAATCTGGCTCTGTTCGGAAGACCTCGCTCTCCCATTGGTCGCCCATCCGTTTCAAATTTTGAACTGGAAGAGAACTCCTATTCGACAACGGGGCCTAACTCGGACTCTCTGGCCTATTAGCTTGCTTTCTTCTTTCCTACTGGACTCATTCTACTAGTGTCTACACTTCGAGTCATCGCTTCATTGTGCAAGCTTGTTTTCGCTCAGGGACATTACATCGAGAGTACAAAGGGGTATGATCCTAGATGTATTCTCATTACTTACAGCCTATACCAACTCATCCCTCTACGTCCCATATAGACAAACACTCTCCTGACTCACAAACATTTGACGCCATTCTACATTAAGAGGTACCTCACACACTAGCGGACTACCATGCACAGATAATGTTGGCAGCTTGACATGCTCTTTGCATTCATTGAAATTTTTTGTTTTTTGTTCTCGAAACGACCTCTTCAACCACGACTTGTACCAACTACTCATTTGCGTGTATTTAGCCCATCATGGTCCAGCTATTCAATGTCGGAGCTCTCTTCATCCTGTTTCGCGAAACCGTGGAAGGTGCCATCATTCTCAGGTACTGCACAGTGCATCCAATGCTGCCAACCTCAACACCTCACCACTTTCTCACACAACCCCATCATTAGTGTCCTACTACGAGCTGTAGACAAGACAGTTGAAGACCCCCTTCGTCGAAAAGTGCTCAAAAAGCACGTTTGGGCTGGTGTCATCATTGGAGGTCTCATATCCATCATTGTCGGTGGTGGTTTTGCTGTTGCTTTCTGGGTCTTGGGTCAAGATGTATTTGGAAACTCGAAAGCCGTATGGGAAGGGTCCTTCCAAGCCATTGCTGCCATCCTGCTTACATTCCTGGTACGTGTTGTTTTGCGCGTGAAAGAGTATTTTGTTGCAGGGAGATCCTCCACCGAGACCGTCATCGAAGTAGATTGTGGTTTTTTGCTCGTTATCAACATCTTTATATGATCGGTTGAAAGAGTTTATAAGCTGCGAGTCAAATGATGCTTCTGAAGCAATTGTCGGGAGCACCACGAAGGACACTAGACAAACTTCACAGCTTTCAAACAAGTAATAACCATCTTTCCACCATTCACATTAGGCATTTGCTATGCTCAAAGTCTCGCATCTATACCATAAATGGGAAGCAAAGATACATAAAGCCGCCCACGAAGCCTTAAAGAAACCAGACTTTTTCGGACTAGAGGACGAAACCAACGGTACCAGTAGCAGCAGCCATCAACACATCAACAGCCTCGCCAAACTGCCAAGGAAGTCCTTCTTCAGAGAATACTCGTTTGGTATCCTATCTTTCACCATCGTCATCCGAGAAGGAATGGAATCCGTGCTATTCTTGACTGGAGTAGGTCAATCAGACCCTATATCTTTGATTATACCAGGTGTCGTTGGGTTTATATTGGGTATATTGGTTGGATATTTGGTATGGAGAGGAGCTGGCAAGATGAGGTTGGATTTGTTCTTTAGGATTTCGGCTGTATTCTTGTTTATTGTGGCTGCTGGGTTGGCGAGTAATGCTGCTGCTGCGTTCGAAAGTTATAATGTGTCGAGAGTGCTGGCTCGCCTTGGTTCGCAAATTGTACTAGATTCGACATAAGTCGGTATAAAAATGCATTTCTTCTATATACATGAACATTCTCTCTCACACCAGTAATCGAATGTGCGCTCGTGTCAGTGTTTTCAAATATCTAGATGGAGACTGAAAAGGAGGGAGCACCTGTATAGACGTGACTAATTGGAACAGGAACGTAAAAAAGCATCCGTAGTACAACTTTGGACGAGCGGACTATTTGAACCAAGTTCTCTGTGGCAAACAAGCACTTTTGTATAATAGCCAACACTTTACTACTGTTCTATACTATACAACTCTCTTAACTTCAAAGAACCGTCTCAGATAGTAAACCTGCCATAAGCAAACTCCAATCAGCATGATGGATTCAAACAGAGACCACCACATGACTCGAGAGTTTGTGCTCTCTGCAGCTATATGAGGTTGGAAGGGGGAGATGTGAGCAACAACGAAAAAGTACGAGAACTCAACGTTTTTAACTCCTCACTGTATCGATGAGCACGTTCACGAGCGACCATGTACGATTGTTCATCACGTACAGCTCGTAGTCCGTTAGCCAAGTGTTCGATTTCTTTTTGTAGTGGTTCTGCGACCTCTATTTCCGAACGAATGGAGGTTTTGATTGTCAGTCCACGCCAAAACGCTGAATTTATCAACTGCATATGATCTTCAACATGCTACAACAAGACTGCTCACCTTCAGTCTGCCCCATTTTTTGCTGCAATCTGATTTGCTCATCAGGGCCTTGCACGGTGAATGAGACGAGTTTATCAGCAACCGAAGTCATTTGATTGCTGAAGCAGTATTCGAATCGTCCGTCTCGTTCGGCATTGAATCCATAAGTGGCAGTTGCTTCCTTGTTTGCGTTGAAGACTAGACGGTTGTCTTCTGTTATGATCTGTTCATTTGAGTGGTGTTGGGCATTAGTAAACGGTGAATTTGACAATTTGAGTGGAAGTCAAGATGACCATGAAGCGATTTAACACGTATGCGATGTACGTGAATTACAGAATGCAATCGTCCACCACAGCACCAGCACCTTCCAACTTAACAAAGCAAATGAACATTTCATACCCAAAAATCGATATCCAGATTGCCTCCCTCAGCTACTTGATAGGATAGGTCGAGTCTGTCACCTCTCTTTAGAGACTCAAAGAAACACTGCTTGTCGTGAGGAGGCATTTTGATGGTAAAGGCATTAAATCCATAGCAGGGCGGTATAATCAGTGCTGTTAATAGCAGCACTATCGCTATACAGAGTAAGTTAATGCTGCTCGACATTACGTTATATGACTTCTGAATTTTTGGAAGATGAGGTGTAAGACGCTGACCTATCGTGACGATCAACGATTGATGGATTATAATTATTTACATCACATGACGTAGAATTGTAGTGACATACGCGTGAATGGCACCGCTCCAATTTGGTTTAGAGCCCAGACAAGTTTCAAAAACACACAACACAATTTAGCTTAGGAATCGTAGCAGAGAAAGAACGAATAACTTGTACATCACTAACATAGCCTCGTACTGGAGCTCCTGTACTATTATTCTAGCTCATTTTTGAGCCTTCCTACCGCTTTAAAACATATATAACCCAACCCAAAAGCAATAATGAATCCTCCTCCACAACGACCACCATTTCCACCGCTAGGAATGCCCATGCCGCCACCTGGAATGCCTCCAATGCCATTCCCGATGCAAGGATATCCTCCTGGTTATATTCCTCAACAGCAGCAGCAATCATCACAATTCGCAATGCCAAAAGAAGACTTGTCAGATGAGAAGCTGGCTGAGAAGAGCAAGAGATGGCAGCAACTTAACACAAAAAGATTTGGGGAGAAGAAAAAGTATGGGTTTGTCGAGACTACAAAAGAGAATATGCCTCCTGAACACTTGAGGTATGTGTGATCTTGTTTACGTTTGCTGCGGAGGACGAAAGGAGCTTGGAGAAGGTGCAGGCGAACTGATTTATGTTGTGGGCGCTACGCGCGGGCGTTTCGGTTGATTGATGGATGCTGCGGGGAGTGGTGTTGTTGACGACGTTCACTACACTTTTGCACCCACAGCCAAACATTCACACAAACAACTCCTCTCCTTCTTTTAGGAAGGTAATCAGGGATCACGGTGACTTGTCTAGCAAGAAATTCAGACATGACAAGCGTATCTACTTGGGTGCCTTAAAATACGTTCCACATGCCGTAATGAAACTGCTCGAAAACATGCCCATGCCTTGGGAACAAGTCCGGGAAGTGAACGTCCTCTATCATACGACAGGTGCAATCACATTTGTAAACGAAATTCCAAACGTAATCGAACCTGTATATGTCGCTCAATGGGGCACAATGTGGATTATGATGAGACGTGAGAAACGCGATCGTCGACACTTTAAACGAATGAGGTTTCCACCATTCGATGATGAAGAGCCTCCGCTCGATTACGGTGATAATATATTAGGTGTTGATCCTCTTGAACCTATTTGGATGGACTTGGATGATACTGATGACGCGGCAGTCATGGAATGGTTTTATGATCATAAACCATTGGCCAAAGATAAAAAGGTTATGAATGGTACTTCTTATAGGAGATGGAAGTTGGATTTACCTGCCATGTCTACCTTATATCGTCTTGCTCATCAGCTATTGTCTGACTTGATGGATAAGAACTACTTTTACTTGTTTGATAAGCACTCCTTCTTCACCGCGAAGGCGTTGAATATGGCTATACCAGGTGGACCCAAATTCGAACCGCTCTATCGAGATGTCGATCCAGCAGATGAAGACTGGAATGAATTCAACGATATAAACAAAATTATCATCCGAAACCCAATCCGTACCGAATATAAAGTCGCCTATCCATTCTTATATAATTCGCTACCACGATCTGTAAAAGTGTCTTGGTATCATCATCCCGCCATAGTATTCATCCGTGCCGAAGATCCGGACTTGCCCGCATTCTACTTTGACCCACTTATAAACCCTATCTCATCTCGCAGCTTGAAGTCATCCTTCAAAGGTAGCACTCACGAAGAAGAAATATTCGGAGATGCTGATGAAGACGACTCCTTTGAATTACCACCATCCGTAGCACCCTTCTTGGAAGATAAACCACTGTATACAGATTCGACTGCTAACGGTATATCCTTGTACTGGGCACCATCACCATTCGATAAGCGATCGGGCCATACTCGTCGTGCTCAAGACATACCACTTGTGAATAGTTGGTTTATGGAGCACTGTCCACCAAACCATCCAGTAAAAGTACGTGTATCCTACCAGAAGCTACTCAAGTGCTGGATATTGAACGAGTTGCATCGACGACCGACCAAATCCCAAAACAAGAAATACTTGTTCAGGTCCTTGAAAGCAACCAAATTCTTTCAATCGACTGAAATCGATTGGGTAGAAGCTGGATTGCAAGTATGTCGACAAGGATACAATATGCTGAATCTCCTCATCCATCGTAAAAATCTCAATTATCTACACTTGGATTATAATTTCAACTTGAAGCCCGTCAAGACCTTAACAACAAAGGAACGTAAAAAATCTAGGTTTGGAAATGCCTTCCATTTGATGAGAGAAATATTGAGATTGACGAAATTGATTGTTGATTCTCATGTACAATACCGATTGGGTAACGTTGATGCCTTTCAATTGGCTGACGGCTTGCAGTATACTTTTGCTCATGTTGGGCAATTGACTGGAATGTATCGATACAAGTATCGTCTCATGAGACAGATTAGGATGTGCAAAGATCTCAGTAAGTCATTCGGGGAGTTCATTTTTGGTGCTTTGGGTTTGCGCTGATGCAAATATAAATCCCGTTCGTGAATGGCAAATACTGATCTCCTCACCAAATAACTCACCACCATCTTCCCCATAGAACACTTGATTTACTACCGCTTCAACACTGGTCCAGTCGGCAAAGGACCTGGGTGTGGTATTTGGGCACCAGGATGGAGAGTCTGGCTCTTCTTCATGCGTGGTATTGTCCCATTACTTGAACGATGGCTTGGAAATCTCCTGGCTCGTCATTTCGAAGGTCGTCAATCCAAGGGTATTGCTAAAACCGTGACCAAGCAACGTGTTGAATCACACTATGACTTGGAATTACGTGCTGCCGTACTTCACGATATTTTGGATATGATGCCTGAAGGTATCAAGGCCAACAAAAGTCGTACTATACTTCAACATTTGAGTGAAGCTTGGCGATGGTAAGCAACTTTAAAAGTTTGATGTGCTTCTTTTCATGTTGAACAGGCAGTGTTCCTAATCAGTCTGTTTGCGTTTTTAGCTGGAAGTCGAACGTTCCCTGGAAGGTTCCTGGCTTACCTGTACCTATTGAGAATATGATTCTTAGATATGTGAAATCCAAAGCTGATTGGTGGACTTCCGTCGCACATTACAATCGTGAACGTATCAAGAGAGGTGCCACTGTGGACAAGACCGTTTGTAAAAAGGTATTCTTTCATCGGTGCATTGAGCTTGTCACAACTCCAGGCAAAGTAACACTTTCTTCCCATTGCATAGAATCTGGGTAGATTGACTCGATTGTTCTTGAAGGCTGAACAAGAACGTCAGCACAACTACTTGAAGGATGGTCCATATATTAGTGCCGAAGAAGCCGTTGCCATCTATACTTCAACAGTCCACTGGCTTGAGTCTCGTAAATTCTCTCCAATTCCTTTCCCACCTCTATCATACAAACACGATACCAAACTCTTGATATTGGCCTTGGAAAACTTGAAGGAAGCCTACTCTGTCAAGGGCCGATTGAATCAATCTCAACGTGAAGAATTAGGATTGATTGAACAGGCATATGATAATCCACACGAATGTCTTGGTCGAATCAAACGTCTCTTGTTGACTCAACGAGCCTTCAAAGAAGTCGGTATAGAATTCATGGACTTGTATTCTCACTTGATTCCTGTATATGATATTGAACCTTTGGAAAAGATTACTGATGCATACTTGGATCAGTATCTCTGGTATGAAGCTGACAAGCGTGGGTTATTCCCATCGTGGATTAAGCCATCTGATACTGAGCCGCCACCACTTCTTGTCTATAAATGGTGCCAAGGAATCAATAATTTGACTGAAGTTTGGGAGACAAGTGATGGTCAATGTAATGTTATGATGGAAACACGGTTCTCGAAAGCGTATGAAAAGATTGATTTGACATTGCTCAATCGTCTTTTGAGGTTGATTGTGGATCATAATATTGCTGATTATATGAGTGCTAAGAACAATGTAAGTTTCGTGTGCAGGAGTCGTAGGATTTTTTCGCTGCTGTTTCCTCTATGTCCCTCCATTCAATTCAAACGATGCTGTCTTCGTTAGGTGGTGCTCAACTACAAGGACATGAATCACGTCAATGCATATGGTTTGATTCGAGGATTACAATTCGCATCCTTCATCTTCCAATACTATGGCTTGGTACTTGATCTGCTCTTATTGGGTCTCCAACGCGCTTCTGAAATGGCTGGACCGCCCAACTTGCCGAATGACTTCTTGCAATTCAGGGATATGCCGACTGAAACTCGCCATCCTATAAGATTGTATTCCCGATATGTGGATCGTATTCATATGTTTTTGAGGTTTTCTGCTGATGAGGCGAGGGATTTGATTCAACGATAGTGAGTATTCCTCACGTTGTACAAATGACATTTTCTGTTCTTGAGTATTTTCTTGCCGAGTTCTTGTGTTTGCACATTATCATGTCCTTCGCACAGAACACTAACACTCCTTACTCCTCTTAAATCAGTCTGACTGAACATCCCGATCCCAACAATGAAAACATTGTTGGCTATAACAATAAAAAATGCTGGCCACGTGACTGTCGTATGAGATTGATGAAGCACGATGTCAACTTGGGTCGTGCAGTCTTCTGGGACATGAAGAACCGCTTGCCACGATCTCTCACAACTATAGAATGGGAAGACTCGTTTGTATCTGTGTATTCACGAGATAATCCGAACCTCTTGTTTGCCATGCAAGGTTTTGAAGTCCGTATCCTACCCAAGATCCGTACCATTCAAGAAGAGTTTACATTGAATGAAGGAGTATGGAATTTGATCTATGAAGCTACCAAAGAAAGAACTGCACAGGCATTCATTAGAGTTGATAATGATGCGTTGGAGAAATTCCATAATCGGATTAGACAGATTTTGATGGCTTCGGGCAGCACGACCTTTTCGAAAATCATCAACAAGTAAGGACACGGCCATACAACAGATTTTTTATACTCTCTCTTTAAATACTAACTCAGCACAATTACTTCATTAGGTGGAATGTAAGTATCGCACGTGTTACTTGTTTGCAGTCATTATTGTGGCTGCTTTGATGGATTTGCTAGATTACAAAGAAAAATCTCACTTTTCCTTGGAAAAATAGACATGCTTGATTGGTTTGATGACATATTACCGAGAAGCAGTAGTCCACACTCGTGAATTACTGGATTTGTTGGTTAAATGTGAAAACAAGATTCAGACTCGTGTAAAGATTGGATTGAATTCGAAGATGCCTTCTCGATTCCCACCTGTCGTGTTCTATGTAAGTGTTGAATTGGAGTTTTCTTTCGAGTGATGCTCACAACTAATACGCTATGCTGTGATGTTAGACACCAAAGGAATTGGGTGGTCTCGGTATGCTTTCCATGGGTCATGTCTTGATTCCACAATCGGACTTGAGATGGTCCAAGCAGACTGATACAGGCATTACCCATTTCCGATCTGGCATGTCTCATGAAGAAGATCAAACTATACCCAACTTGTTCCGATACATTCAACCATGGGAATCCGAATTTGTAGATTCGCAACGAGTGTGGCATGAATATGCCCTTAAACGTCAAGAAGCGAACGCACAGAATCGACGACTGACGTTAGAAGATTTGGAAGATTCATGGGATCGTGGTATACCAAGAATTAATACGCTATTCCAAAAAGATCGGCATACTTTGGCATATGATAAAGGATGGCGTGTACGAACTGATTTCAAGCAGTACCAGATATTGAAGAATAATCCATTCTGGTGGACTCATCAACGTCATGATGGAAAGCTTTGGAATGTGAGTACCGTGATGTGGACAGTTTGCCGTTCGCGTCTTCTTGTTTCACAGCTGACTTGATCCTTGTCAAGCTCAACAATTATCGAACGGATATGATTCAAGCTCTTGGAGGTGTTGAAGGTATTCTCGAACATACCTTGTTCAAGGGTACATACTTCCCCACCTGGGAAGGTCTCTTCTGGGAGAAGGTATTTGCGAATTTTGCTCAGTGCATACATTTTTGCTTCTGCTCAGTTTTGAACGATTTTGGTTTAGGCTTCTGGTTTCGAAGAATCAATGAAGTATAAAAAACTGACTAATGCGCAACGATCTGGTTTGAATCAAATCCCTAATCGTCGATTCACGTTATGGTGGTCTCCAACAATCAATCGAGCAAACGTCTACGTTGGTTTCCAAGTACAATTGGATTTGACTGGTATATTTATGCATGGTAAAATCCCCACGCTCAAGATCTCCTTGATTCAAATCTTCCGTGCTCACTTGTGGCAGAAGATTCATGAGAGTGTAGTCATGGACTTGGTAAGTCTTGTTACAATGCTGTTTCCACGCATTGTTGCCGCGCTTGGTTGGAACTAACTTTCTTCCCCAATTTTAGTGTCAAGTATTTGATCAAGAACTTGAAGCGTTGGAAATCGAAACTGTGCAAAAGGAAACAATCCATCCCAGAAAGTCATACAAGATGAACTCATCTTGTGCCGATATATTGCTCTTTGCTGCCTTCAAATGGAATGTATCCAAGCCATCATTATTGAACGATACAAAGGATTCGTTTGATGGAGCCACTAGCAACCGATTCTGGCTTGATGTCCAACTCAGATGGGGTGATTTTGACTCGCACGATATAGAACGATACACTCGTGCCAAATACCTGGATTATACTACCGATAATATGTCGATTTACCCATCACCTACTGGATTGATGATTGGTCTCGATTTGGCCTATAATTTACACTCAGCATATGGTAACTGGTTCCCTGGTATGAAGCCCTTGATACAACAAGCTATGGGTAAAATCATGAAGTCCAATCCAGCTCTATATGTATTACGAGAACGTATCCGTAAAGGCCTTCAATTGTATTCTTCAGAACCCACAGAGCCATACCTCTCGTCACAGAACTACGGCGAATTATTCAGCAATCAAATCATTTGGTTTGTGGATGATACCAACGTATATCGAGTCACGATTCACAAGACATTTGAAGGAAATTTGACCACCAAACCTATAAACGGAGCCATCTTTATATTCAATCCACGTACAGGTCAATTGTTTTTGAAGATTATTCATACATCTGTATGGGCTGGGCAGAAACGTTTGGGGCAATTGGCTAAATGGAAGACTGCTGAAGAAACTGCTGCCTTGATTCGGTCCTTGCCTGTTGAAGAACAGCCTAAACAGATTATTGTTACCAGGAAGGGTATGCTTGATCCACTTGAGGTTCACTTGGTAAGTACATTATGGTTAATACAATTTTGCTGCCGCGCTAACACTTCCTTTATTTTAATATTAGCTGGACTTCCCTAATATTGTCATCAAGGGATCAGAACTACAGTTGCCCTTCCAAGCGTGTCTCAAGGTTGAGAAGTTTGGTGATTTGATTCTCAAGGCTACTGAGCCTCAAATGGTCTTGTTCAACTTGGTATGATTTTGAAAGCCTTTGTTGTTGAAGTTTTGGTTTTTCAAATCGTGGGTCTCAAACCATTTCTCATTTATATCTCCCTCATTTAGTATGATGACTGGCTCAAGAGTATCTCTTCTTACACGGCCTTCTCTCGTTTAGTCTTGATTCTGCGAGCTCTTCATGTAAATAACGAAAAGACCAAAATCATACTGCGACCAGACAAGTCCGTTGTCACTGAACCTCATCATGTATGGCCCACTCTTACCGATGAGGAATGGATCAAGGTTGAAGTACAATTGAAGGACTTGATCTTGGCTGATTATGGTAAAAAGAATAACGTCAACGTAGCATCTCTCACCTCTAGTGAGATTCGTGACATTATTCTTGGTATGGAGATCCAAGCACCATCACTACAACGACAGCAGATCGCCGAGATTGATAAACAAGCTAAAGAGCAATCTCAACTGACCGCTGTAACGACAAAGACACAAAACATCCATGGTGATGAAATGATTGTGACTACTACGTCTAATTACGAGACACAGACCTTCTCGTCCAAGACAGAATGGCGCATCCGAGCCATCTCGTCAACCAACCTGCATCTCCGAACAAACCATATATATGTCAATTCGGACGACATCAAGGAAACGGGCTTCACATATGTCATGCCCAAGAATGTATTAAAGAAGTTTATATGTATAGCAGATCTACGAACCCAGATATCTGGATTCATGTATGGAGTCTCACCGCCCGACAATCCGCAAGTTAAAGAAATTCGAGCTATAGTAATGGTTCCTCAGTGGGGTACCCATCAGCAAGTCCATTTGCCCACTGGATTACCGAATCATGAATATTTGAATGATTATGAACCTCTGGGATGGATTCATACTCAGCCACAAGAGTTGCCTCAACTGTCGCCATTGGATGTTACTATGCATAGTCATATCTTGGCTGAGAATCGAGCTTGGGATGTGGATAAGGCTGTTATTATTACTTGTTCCTTTACACCGGGTATGTATGATCTGTACTTGGAATTCGACTAGTGTTGCAAAGTCAAGCTTGTCTCCTCTGGCGGCTTTTTTTTCGAGGTTGTTATGCTAACATATGTCAAATGTTTTAGGATCTTGCTCATTGACTGCATACAAGCTCACACCAGGAGGACTGGAATGGGGCAAAACCAACAAGGATATGGGGGTCAATCCGGCAGGATATAGTCCATCGCACTATGAAAAGGTGCAATTGCTCCTCACTGATCGAATCTTGGGCTTTTACATGGTTCCAGAAGGAGATGGATTGTGGAATTACAACTTTATGGGTGCTAAGCACAGTCCGAATATGAAGTATTTGTTGACGTTGGATTCGCCCAAGGTAAATTGTGGAGTTTTATTGCTAGAAAGGGTTATAGAAGCTCACTCTCGTTTGTTTGTTATACAGGAATTCTATCATGAAATTCATAGACCAAGTCACTTCCTCAATTTCTCAGGCCTTGAAGAAACTGGATTGACCATGGTGGGAACTGGAGTTAGCAGTGAGATCGACAAGGAGAACGAGTTTGAGTAAAGCTTGTGTTTGTTTTGTTTCCTTCCTATCTGTATATCAAAAATCAAAAGTTGCAAAGTTAAATAAATGAGTGATATTGCAATTTTTGTCTTTAGATAGTTGTGTTTCGTTGCTACTAGTATGTTGGATGGATTTGTTGAATCTGGAAAAAAAAAGTCTCCATTCGCTCCATTTCGCTATAAGACATACTAACCCCTGGTCCATTATGGGTCAAAGAGAGAGTGCACCAGAGCGTCCAGCAGTATCTGCAGCTCCTCTGATCACGAAACCATCAGAAGAAAAGAAACCACAAGCAGCTACGAAGAAAAGTAGTAATTCTCGAAAATTGCAACTAGAGAGGCAGTCTTGCAGCACTAAATTGAATTCTACTAACGATTTTCTTTCTAAACAGTATCGATAATCAGGAATGCGTCTGATCCTACCAAGAAACCTCACAAGAAGAGAAAGATATCATCAAATGCTGGACTAGTCACAACAACCGATAAAACAGGTGGCGAAGAGAGGCCCATAAAGAAACAAAGGAAGCAGCGTGCACAGTCTGATGAAGGAGCTCCTGTGACTATAGCTGCTGCTGAACAGCCGATACCTCAAACCAAAGAAAAAATTCAGAATGTGGTTGACATTCGACCAGCTGAAGGAGACGATGCAGGAGCTGCTGCCAAGAAGAAGCTGGCTAAACGCTCGAAAGGAAAAGAAGCTTTAACAAGTATACGTGGTTGTTTGCGCACGATCTTGCCTTCAAATTTTGGACTCTTGGACAAATCTTTCTCACCAACGTTATCGACGTTAGGCATGGAAACTAAAAAGGTCAAAAAGGCGAAACGTACCCGCCGCAAGCAGGTAGATGCCTTGCCTGATACAGCAGAGAAAGCTATAGCATTATATGCTGATTATTTGACTACGTTCAAGTGAGTCCAAGCTTGTATACCAGTTCTCGATTTCACTGATTGTCCCTGTAAACCTAGATACAATAGGCCTGCCTGGAAGTTCAACAAAACCCGTCAAACCTCGATCTTGAAGCATCTTTATGACCCCACCATGCTACCAAGAGATGAATTCAAACTCGCTCGAATGTATGTCAAGACTCTGCAAGGAAATGCTATGAAGTTGACTATCGACAGGGCTCAAAGTATAGTGAAGTCGCCTGATGCTGATGCTGTCAAATTGAAGAGGGCAAAGAAGATATTGAAAAGCTTGAAGGTGTCAGATGACATTGTTGCTGATGATGCCTTGATAGGAGAAGGAGAAGTAGAGGTGCAAGAAAACGTGTCAGAGTAGAGAATTTCACGAATCATATGTAATTTAAACAGCAAAGCACAAACTGATAAAATTCTTTCCAAACACCGCACCTCACCTCTCTTTCAAACTATGAATCTATGACTGGGTTTAAATTTTGAGCTTGCATTCCAGAGTGGATATGTTAAGGATCTGCTTTATGGTGATGGCAAAGGAGTCATTGCAACTGAAATCCAAAGGTGGACTTTTATGGTGCTGTAAAATATCTAGTAATCGCGGTGCTTCGTGTTTTACGAGAAAATTGAAGTATTGATTGTAGTATTGCTGATGGGTAACGTAATGTGGTTATGGCGACTCCACTCTCAAAAGTTCATTTAAAAAGGCTGATTGTTGATTGGACTACCCAACCGGTTCTTAAACTGGCTGGAGGAAATTTATATTGCTGATTTCATGAATACTTCTTCGGTGGTTCCTCTGTCATTCAAATCTGAATACGTTTCTCTGTTTTCATGCACTGACTGTTTCCGAAGGTGGTACCTAACACAAAACGGATCAATGCAGATTATTAGATTCTTGAATTGCAATCAGCTTTCACGATTATCGCCTGCTGCTTGAAGTACTCCTATCGGGTTCCCAACGAGCGTCCGAACGATGTTCTCTCGATACAGATATTATATTTCTATGTTTTCTGAAATTCTTTCAAGAATCTGGCGAAATTCTATGATTTGACACGTTTTGTGCCTTTGAGCGAGTTGAAGTCAATAATCAGAAGTACATGAAGTAGCAGAAATCATTAAATAATGGATCACTTCCCGCAGACCTTAAATGGATGCATCCCGCAGACCTTAACTCGCGTATAAGAGCGTTTCAACAAAAAAAAATCTTGCAAATAGAGGAGTTGCTCAACTCCAATACATGTTTAGTCGATCACGTAAATCGTTCAATAAAGCCCAAAGAATCGCGTTTAGACGCGTTTGATGGCGACTCGGACACTGCATAGTGGCGGCTTTTGCTTGTCTGAAACTCGCGGATTCAGCTGGCGCGTCGGACAAGAGCAAGTCCATGTGGCTGAAGGTGACGTGTACACCTTCTCACGTTCAATTCGTGGGATCCGCATCATAGTAGCTTCAACAACGGCTTTCCATCAGCGACATCGACTAACTAGGTTTATAACTTGGGGCTCCGCAACGAGAATCTACCGTGACCTCCCATCCAAATCGACAAAATCACCAAAAACACTTGTGCCGGTGGCACCTTCTTACGGAACAACCTACAAGACACGACTAACAGGGAGTATACTGTGCATTTTAACGTTTCTTTGGATTAGGCAACTCTCTTGTAAGCCCGCCATCAAGGAAAAGCATTTTGCGTAAGTTGCCAAATTTTCGTGAATTTTTGTGCTTTTGCTGTTAAGCATATTTGAAGGACCACTCCTTCTCTACTTCAAACTATTTGCCAAGTATGGCTGCTGCTGCAAATGCTGCTAGGGCTGTTAAAGCCGTTGAACTTGGATCTTTTCCAAGCTATACTATTGATGGCGTTTTGCCATGGTCATCTTGGCTCACCAAGTTTGACAAGATTTACAATACTCGTAGACCACTTAACGATCCACAAGATCGTGTAAAGCTGGCTACTATAACCAACTACTTGCATCCTCAAGTTGTGTTGTCATTGCCAGCTGCTCACTTGGGCAACTATGCTGCATTAATTACTTACTTGATTGAACACACGTTTTAGACGCACCCAGTCCTCTGGTGATATGAGAGGTACTTTTGAAACTTGTACTCAATCCAGCCAGGTGAGTCACCTCAGGCCTTTTATGTCAGATTAGAATGCTTTGTTGAGGAGTTGTCTAACGATTCAGGCTTAATCGTTACAAGTTGAGGGAAATTGATGCAAATCAAGCCCCTAATGATGAACAGCTCCGATCTCGTTTTTATACCGGATTAAATGGTAACTTGAAACCACTTATTGGTCAAAACCTTGTGATTGGATGCTCATAATCGATTTCACAGTTCCACTTGCAAAGCCAGATTGGAGGCGCCATTTGTCACGCCTATAATATCCAACTTCAAATGTAGGACAACAAATGCAACCACACGTATGACAAGATCGTGTCAGTCGGATCATCAAACCTGTTGCAGACCACTTTAGTCATTAGATTAGCTTATTTTGTGTCACATCGCTATGTCAGCATCATGTTATCCATCCACTCATTTCTCTTTCTCACACACACACAAACATCCATCTAGTCATCCTGTAACGTTTAGACGTTAGTAGTTCTCCTTCTCAATGTAACAAACAACGATGGATGGATGCGTTGAGTTGTTGTTGATTGATGAAGGAGGAAGCTTTACATCTTTTGCCTTTTATACTCCTACACAGCCAAGTGGCTGTGCAGGGGTTTCAACACATCCATCCAGTTGCGTTTGAGTCAGAGAGGTGAGGAGGCATTATATCATCTATTCTATATCCTATTATCACATGTATTGACAATACCTTATCATTAGTTATACTCATTGTACTTTTATCAGGTATTTGTCAATACACTCACACAAACATCCATCTATCCATCTATCGAGTTGTGTTTGAGTCGGAGAGTTATACTCATTGTACTTTCATCATGTTTGCACGAAAAACACAATCTAATAGCAGTTCGTCTAAAACTATAGGGATATCGAGTGGGTGTTCGTCTGCTTCATCTCTGGTTTGTACATCGTCAACAGACGGATCTGGCGCATTGAAACGTGCATCCGGCAGTGGCTGGTCGAGACTGCTAGATGCTGTAGCAGGGGTTGCTGGAGGTAATTGGGGGTTTCTGGAAGGTAGATTCGTGTAACAAATGTTACTGTTGCATCGGCATAGCCAATGCTGCCACCCTCTTGTTTTATTATTTTATTATTTATGATGACGCAGATGAGTATATACGAAGGTAGAACGGATGATGAGGAGATATAAGATAGAAAAATGATTGCCCTAAACCTTGATGCCAATATGTCAAAGCCTCAAAGGGGGTATAAAAAGAAGGTGTTGTCAAGATTAATTCCTCAATCGGAAAAATCTTGACAATAGTACTCACATTGAGCATCAAGGAATTAAATTGACTACAACGAGTTTGTGTCATTTAGTAGGGACGTCCAGGTCTTGGAACCTACTTGCCAGTCGGCACTTATACCACTATTCCCACTATACTGGAGGTTTCTTGAGTCTTAAAGACTCTACATCAAACTGTCATCAAACCACGAATCAGATTCTTACACAGAAGATTTTTCTTCAGTCACATCTGCAGCTGGTGGAACACCGAAAGGAAAACAGCTGCCACAATACATACCATTACAAGATCTATCATCACCTCCTAAATATAAACTCCAACCAAAAGCCGACATGTCTGCTGCAGACCACTATAGTCATTAGACTAGCTTATA